CCTCTGTTATAGCCGCGCGACAACGCGTGCCTTCTGCACTACACTTGTAGTGGTGAGACGAGTGGGAAATATCCTAATCTGTTTCGAAAAAAAAAGTAAAAATAACTCTACATACCCCAATAATTTACTTACATTCAAAGCATATGACACAGAAAGTCCAACTAGACCCGCAGTGAGGCCGGGAGAGTCTCGGAAGAGTACCGCAAAAAGTGCCGAAAACATAACAATGAGATTACCAACAAGTTCGAGGCGCACCGCAAGCCATCTGAAATTGCATCTATTCAGTACCGACGGTAAACTTTTGTCTTGTATTAAGCTGCTGACACAGCTGCAACTGCGGTCGCTTTGCGATCTTTATGAGTTCATGGTAAGCGAACCATAACAAATGCAAACGCTCATGAAATGACTGCAAGCAACCGCGTTTGCAGAAGCACCCCGAGTTGGAATGAAGGCTAATCTTCTAGTTTCGCTAAACCTAACCGATTCGCTACAATACTTGGATAATAAGTAGCCAGATTTTCGTCCACTCTTCGCTCAGATTCCTTGACAAATTCATCTACCAATCTGTAGGCACGAATTGACGCTGCACCTTGAATAGATTCCTGAAATGCTTATACATGTTAAACGTTGTAAAACGGGGAAATCTGAAAAAAACCAACTTGGAAATGGGAGTAGATCGGTGACCTCGACGCCGATTCAAGACGTTTCAACTGTCGTGAAGTACTTACATAGAATCGCTAAAAATACGAAGGATCAAGAACTTGCAACTCAAAAAAATTCGGGTAAGGGAGACAATCCTTAGCAACGTGTAGAACCCGGATGTAATAAGGTCTTCAAACAGGTAGCCTTGAAACGCGCAGTGTGTGTCAGGCAACAGTAGCTTGTCAAAAGTAGGCCATCACGTGAAGCGGGCGGGGGACGCGGTGACCGCGAATGGTATGTCCTGACCTACAGCTGAAAACGCGCTTTTGCAATTGAACCCAGTGGACCTTAGTTTTTCGGGTGGTCTTTATTACCGTGAAGAACGGAAAAGGTGGTGGTAGACGGAAAGAAAAATTCACCCAAAGTCTTGAT